GTGGTACTGTGGTTAAAGCATTGGACTGCTAACAAATGTTTTCCATTTCCAGATTTTTCATGTATACAATTTATATTCATCATGTGCAACCCTCCCACTATTATTTCCAAGGTTTTCCATAACCCTTAGCAGAAGTTCAAGCACTGTCTTTCAGTCCTTCCACCAACACTGTGATTGGTATATCTACTTCACAGTGAGAACCAGGAGGTTCTGAAAGGGTGAGTGACCCTCTCAAGCTCACACAGCCCATGAAGATTGGAGCCTGCTTTGAATGAAGCACAGTTTGCATGGAGTGTGCAGGTGGGGCCTAAAACTATCTTGCTGCCTCGTGAGAATGAGAAGACCCTGAGAGAGGACAGGGAAAAAGGTTAAAAGTGAGACTGTGGGATCCACGGGAACCATATGAGAATCCACTGTGTCCTGTGGCCACTGCAGATGAAGTTATTGGAAATTGGCTTGCATTTTAATAAACTCCTGTTACTTTTGCATGAGAGTAAAACTAGTGAATTACAGTGAATTTTCAAGATAATAAAATGCATATTTATCCCTTGTTGTGTATATATATTTTCTCTTCATAAGTCCCCTGTTCATCTGGAATTTCAATTAACTGCTATTTTTTCCACATACTCTATTGTACTTAGCTACCCCATCTTTTGCTTGGCAATTTCCAAAATTACAAAATGACAATAGATTTGTTGACAAGTTGAGAGTTGTGTGGCTTTCACACTGAGCTCACACATACTAGCCCTTCTGCCTCAGGAAAGCTGTGTATCCCCCCGGGGATTGCACTGGAGAGCCTTTTTGCTACTTAATAAGAAAACAACATTGCAAATCACCTGGACTCTTCCTAAACATATAATTAGGAATTCAGTGTGGCTTTTTTTCTGTCTGAGAATTGAAGTAGTTTATCTTCTTTATTCCATTATTATGGATTCAAACCATATTTACTAAAAAAATTTTCTGCTAATGAAAAGTTTTAAGAGGGAGGTTGGGAAAATCCCTTCTGAGCATAACTGAAAGGTCAGTCCAACATATATTCATGAATCTGGGCTTGAAAAATGTTGACGTGGAGTCTCCAAATGTTTCCTTAATTTTCCTAAAATAGAACTGATGATTAGAAATGACTATCACGAGTGATGTTTGAAACATCAATCCTGAGCCTAAAACCCTTACATTTTCTAAGGAGCTGGGATTTGCTTTGGTTCAATCCTTTTTTCAGGAATCAATTTAAAATCACTCATAATTCAACTGAAAGATAATTTAGGGTTTACATGTATAGATGCTCCAATTTCTAGCATTTTATTGCTGCTCTTGGGGCTTGTGAGATGACAGCTTTCGCTTCATAGAACAAGCTTCAAATAAAAAAAAATCAAACACCCATCAGAGAAAGCAGACTTACTCTCCTATTAATTGATATAGAGCTGTAAAGCTCCCATCATCTGGGAGGGCAGAGCAGCCTTTGCCGGCATTTTCAGAGGCCAGAGTCTGTGGTCAGCAATCCACATGGCCTGAGCCAGAACTGTCCGCTTTGATGAGGCAGAACTAAGAATTTTCAGCTCTAAGGATATATGACACTAGAGGAGCCACTTTTCCAACAAAATCTGCCCATAAGTTTTAAAGGAGGAGTGTCATTCTCAACCCACTTTATTTTATTTTTTTAAAGTGAACAACCTTGAAAATTGAACTTTCCACTATATTCTGGCTTTTCTCTGCCCTGCTGGGCTGAGGTAAATTCGTGTACCCTATTTAGTAACCAGAAAATGATTCTTATAAGGAATGCAGACTCTGCAGCTGTTGTGTATTAAATACTGAGCAAAGGACTGTTGAGGACCACAGAATTGTCTCCTTCTGAGGTTGGACGCACCCAGGGTGGGGGTGGAAAGGGCAGGGGAGACGTGAGAATCTATTGAAATATGAGGTGGCTATGGTTTTAACTTTAAATAAGCATTTCCATCCTAATAGAATCCCCCTCTAATGTCTCCTGCAGCTTTGATTTTGGAACACGTCACATTCCTCATTAAAGCAATCACTGTTAAAACATAAAGCAACACAGGATTTATTTCTTCATTAAACTGATGATCCGTATATGAAGCCAATTAACATTATGAGTCTGGTGAACATCAAGTGTAAAGAGGTTAGAGAAAATTAAAAGCAGTCACCTTGGTCTTTAGATAAAGAAAGTACACTTTTAGGTTGTAAATTATCAGAGTGTCCAAGCGGGACAGATCGGAGAGTTTGGCTAATTGGAAAATACATTTTGTTCCACAAGAATTTAAGGGGGAAAAACCCTTTTCCTTACTAACACCCGCTTTTTTTTTTTTGGCAGGAGTGGGTTAGTAATAATATATTATTAGTCATCTCCTTGGGGCCCGACAATTGGGAAAAATGAGGGTCTCGCATCATCAAAGTTTCGTTTTGACGGTTGTTTATTTGTTTGTTTGTTTATTCGCTGTTTTTCAACAGGAAGGAGCCCAGACTCCTGGCCCCGGGAGACAGTTGCTGCGCGAGGTGAGGACGAGCGTCCTGAGCTGTCCCCGACTTCTGCGCAAGGTGGGTGTATTTCAGGAGTTCAGCCTGTTGTCCCGCTAGGGACGCGGCTAGGCTCTTGTCTGGTGACCTAGGGAGGGCCAGAGCCAGGTAGTGAAGGACTACGGGATACTTCCTGGCTGCCGCCGCCGGACAGGAGGCGCGCCTTGGACTGCGGAGAGTTCCGTGCTGCGAGTTCTGAACGCGCATTCCAAGTAACTTCCGCAGATTTGGATCCGGAGAAGATTGGGGTCGGTCCCGGAAAGATCGGGATCTGGCTGGGAGGGTCTCACCGTTGTGCAGCGGAGGGCGCCGGCAGAACTCTTGGAGCGTCTTAGTTCTGCGCTCCAGCCCGGACCGAGTCAACGCCGCTGTCCAGGGTTCTGACCTGTCGGAAGGTGCCAGGAGCGAGCTGACAGCAGACCACGAACGAACAGGTCCAGCACCTGGGACACCTCTGGGCCTTGTTTCGGGGGATGTCAGAGATAGGGAGCTGAGACTGTGGCTTGTGTCTTGTTGGTTTCTGGGGCCCCAGACGCGCAGTGTTGGATTGTCAGTGCCGAGGGCTCCTGCATATACAGCTAGGTGCGCCGAGGCATCTCTACCGAGCGGGCCCGGACGCTTTCCTCACCACGATTCACAGCCCAGCTCCGGAGTGCGCAGGGCAAGCAGGCGGGTGGCAGTCTGAGGGGGCTTTTGGAAGCTTCGGGCGTGTAAGGGCAATCTTAGGCTCTTGAGCAAGGCTCCAGAGAGCAGGGGTTCTCTGAGGGAGACAGCGAGAGCGCAAGCCAGACTCTTGACCCCAACAGAAAACGCCGATCGAATCTGGGGCTCCAGTCCTCTCCGGATAAAGTAGAAACGGCGCTCCGCCGCTCCTGTCCTGCGGGTCCCCGCCTGCCACCCCATCAGCTTTCGGGGCCTGCTTGCGTGCTCCCTGCAGTCCCGCCTCCTTGACTTGGGAAGTCAGTGGTCCTGGCGGAGCTGGCGCCTCTGAGTCTCTCCGCTCTGAACTGAGCCAGAGTTTCCAAAAGCCCCTTTTGCTCTGCCGGGCGACTCCCAGCTCCAGGGCAGGCTGACCCTGTGAGGGGCGGATTCGGATCCAGCGGGCTCTGTGACTTGCCTCTACCAGAGCGGCGTCTTCCTCCAGGAGATTTTCAGAGGGGTGTCCACTGGTGGGCCAGGGCCGGAGCACTCCGCCTTCCTGCTGGACTCTCCTCGCCTGAAGCGGGTGTCCACGTGCGGCCTGTTAGGCCTTTTGTTTCCAATGCGGTGTTTTTTAGATCAAGGCTGGCTTCCGGGCCATGCGGGGACCAACCCACCGCCTCGCCAGAGGCTCCCAAACACAACATTAGAATGTTTATAAAATATTCAATTTATGCAGTCTGTCCAAGAAGCCATCGTCCCAAAATAAAATCAGCAGTCTAGACGGAACACAGACACCAGAACTTATCAACAGTTGTCTGACTTGCATCTTCTGATGCATCTTGAGTGGGTCATAATACCAACTTTATTTTCAGTGGTGCATAAATTAATTACACGCATTTAATAACCAAAATATCATCATATTCCCCCTTTAATATCATAAAGGCTTTCCGCCAGGGAAGCACTTAATAGTGCAGGGGGCCGTAACGGGCTATTATCCTGGTGTAATGCTATTACAGAACCAATTATGCGCCATTAGGCTTGCTTTTTTTGCAGTTTATGTGATTTGATCCAATCCCGCGCCCCTGACTTGAAAATTTCAGCCCGGCACTTTAGAGTTTAATTTTCACCCAGGCAGAGGGAAGGGCGGTCTCTCTCCGCTGAGTGTCTGCCTCAGATGCATTTTAAAAGTAATTGCGAAGGGTCCCACCGCATATCATTTGCATCGAGAAGCAACATAAATTCAGGGACCCCTTGCTGAGAACAAAATCAAACTTTCCTTTTGTACGATCTCTTGGAAAGGGAAGCCGTGTGCAAAGAGTCCCCCCAAAACCCATCCGGTGGCGACAATTAGCAGCGCTTTGTCAATTCGCAGCCCCTCAGTCGCCGGGCCTCTGACAAGGACCAGCCCAAATCTAAGCTTTCCTGGAAAAAGGTTTGAGTCTGAGGGGCGCGGGAGGGGCTGGAGTGTTTAAAAAACAACGTCTTTTCTTTTTCTTTTTCTTTTTTTTTTTTGGAGGGGGGAAGGGATGGTGGTTGTTTCTATCCTCTTTAAAAGAAAGGGGAAAACACATTCCTGATGTTTGCTGAGAAATGACGGGTTTTTTTTTTTTTTTTCCTTTTACACCACGTGGGCCATTTGTAAGGCCCAATAGACCTATCCAAGTTACTCGCTGTAGACAGCGCTGGAAATAATCAGATTAAGGCCAATTATGCGTGAGATTATAAAGGCGAGTGCTGAGCGGCGGCGCGCGCTGTAGACAGACAGCAAGACATCTGGCCACTTCCCGAGTCACTTTTTTGGTCCTGCAGGCGCCAGCCGCGCCGAGCCCCGCCCTCCTCCAGCCGAGCCGGGAGTGTCAATTCGAGAGTGTTACGCTCCGGCCTTCCTCGCCCGCCGCCCGCCCGGCGAGGTACTCGCTGCTCCCGGACGACTTGGCCCCGCACGCCCGGGCCTTCGGGCTTGGCTGCCTTCTTGGCCCGAGCTGCTGTGCACGCAGGTGGCCTTGCACACTCCCTGGCCGCGGCTGCTGTACCCGGGCTGCAGGGGTTGTGGTGGCGACCCCTGAGAGCCGGGAAGCGGCCCACAAGAGTTTGGTGTCTAGTGAGGGTGAGAGCATCGCTAGCAGGGAGGTGGCCGGACCAGAGGAGTTGCCCCGCGGGGGTCTCGGCTTGCGACGACACTGTCAACTCCCATCTTGTCCCCGCAGCAGGCTGAGGACATTGGAAGAGGTTTTTCCAGGGGATGAGCGCCTGGTGCGCTCCGGGGCCGGGCTGGGGCGCAGGGAGAGGGAGATTTAGGCTCTGTCGCTGTTTGCTTTGCAGCCAGGCCAGAGCTGCGCGCGCCTGTCGGTTCCACAACCATCTTCCAGAGACCCAGCTGTCCAGCGGACCCGGCCGTCGGCGATGTTTTATTTTCACTGTCCGCCACAGCTAGAGGGTGAGTAAGTGCCGCGCCCGGGGCCAACCAGTCTCTGGGTCGCTCCACTAGGCTGATGCTGGCTAGAGAGCTCATGCGGCAGCAGGACTGGAGGGTGGTTGGGTTCTCAATCCACGAGGGACGCAGCCTCGGGGTGGTGAGTAGGGGCACCCTGGCCCCCTCCCCACACCTCCTCCAGCCTCCGCCGTGTCACCACCTGCCTCCCACCTCCCTCCCCGCCTGGGCCGGGGCGGCCCCAGGCTACGCGCGTCGCGGGACCCGCTGGGTGCTCCGAGCACAGATGCTGGTGTCACGCCTTTAATCGGGGCTCTCCCGCCCAGGGGGCCACATCAATCTTTCACGGGGTTTTGCTAACATCACAGAAAGCCAAGACGGTCTCAGGAGGTGGCCTGCTGAGTCCTGGGCGCGACTAAGAGACAGGAACGACTCATTCCTGGGCTGTTCTTGCTAGGGGCGGAGAGCGAGACTGCTCAGGCCGCGCCTGGCGATTTTGCACCACAAAACGGTTCATCCCCAGGTACCGCCTTGGAGCCCCAGGAGCTGGTGTGTCTTTCCCATCACCTGCGCGGATGCTCCTCTGTGCCTGGCTTTGCTTTTGACCTCAAATAACTTTTAACTTCCAAGGGAGAGCCCCAAGGCCAGAGTTGATGCCTTTGAAGGTCTCCAGGCCTTAGAAATTTCTCCTTAAGAGTCCTGGTGTGGTCCCTGAATGTTAAGTAGGGATGAGGTGGTGGGAAGGAGGCAGCTTAGACCTCTGGTGCAGCCAACCCTCCACACGGAGAGGGGGTTAGTATTGGCAGGTGACTGTAGCAGCTGCAGACACTGACTCTTTAACACATCTTCCTCTGTCTGGGTGTTTTGTTTTGTGGTGGATGCAACACCAGGACTTTGGGAACCTATTCCTTTCATTTATTTGTGGCATGGGGGAATTTTGGAGGCAAAGAAATCGAGAGAGACATGGATCAGCAAAAAGGATGTGAGAAGCCCGATCATCATGCTCCTTGCAGCAGCAACCTTGCTTCAGCTGGCAAGCACCAGCACAGGGATTTTAGAAAGTCTATTTTTTCCCATGATATATCTTAAGAGTTCAGCAGGGTTTTCTAAAAGGAGGCTAGTGACGATTGGTGTTAAAGCCTTGCAGCCCTGGAAATATTTCTAAGGAAAGGTCAGGCACTTATCTGAACTTCACCACCTTTGGCCTCCAAGACCCAGACAAGTGAGTTTTATGAGCAGGGAGGAGAGGTACATCTCAGCTAATGTATCCCAGGATGGAGGGGCTATCTGCTGGAATGCAGGGTGAGCCTTCTCTGTGCTTCTGTCTGGAATGGTTGCCTGAGTGGCCCATTTTCTGGTCAAAGTGGTGCAGGCAGAGGTTTGGGCACTTAGCAGGTAGCAGGTTTCTTAGGTGTCTTAAAGTGAAGGCCCTGGAGCTCCCAGGAGTTACTTAGGGAGAACCTGACCAGCCTGTCAGAGCCCCAGGGCACTGAGCTGCTTGCTCCTTTCAGTTCAGCCTATTGAGTATCTTCCATCCTCACCCCCTGTGCACATCCCCACCTTGGCATTGATTCTGATTGATATGACCAGAAGGAAAGGAGATGGGTCTTCAAGAACCTTTTTATCCCTTTACAGATGAGTTTCTCTGCCCCTTTGCATAATACAGTGTTTATTTCAGTTTAATGTTGTTGGTGATCTGCTGCAGACAGTAAGGCTGAGAGCAGAGTTTGGACTATGATATCTCATGATAGCCTGTTATTAATACAGAGAAGAAAGCAAAGCAGGAGTCATAATCTCAACCCTTAGATAATGTTGCTTGTATGAAATTAAAAACCAAGACATACATCTGCTTAGGAAATTCCAACAGTAAACTTCTACATTGAAAATTGAACTCTTCCTTCTCCACCTCTTCACCTCTTTTTCTAAAGGTGCTCACTATTGTTGGATTCTTTTGATTCCTTCACAAGAAAAGAACATGCTTACTATCATAGAAGGATTTTTCTCCCTGTAGGTTACATATTTTTTACACTGAAAGCATACTGCATCATCATTCTGTACTTTGCTTTTTTCACTAGATAATACATCTTGGGGATGTTTCCATGTGAACTCACACACTGCTTTCTTTTAAACAGCTGTGTAGTATTCTAGTATGTGCTGTACAGAAAGTGCCTACTTATGGGCACCTAGGTTGCTTATAGTTTTTGTGTCTTTTCTGTTACAGTGTTGCCAGGAACGTCCTTGTCTCTCTATTTTGGCACATTTATATAAGTACATCCATACACTGCATACAGTTTTTGACAGATATTATCAGATTACTCTCCAAAAATATGGCACCAATTGACGCTTCTACTAATGGTGGATGGGAGTGCACATTTTACTAAATTCTTATCTGCTCTGGGTGTCCTAATGTGCTCCATTTTATTTTCAAGATGGTGAAAATAGTATTTTGTTGATGTTTTGTTTAATTATCAGAGAGGATTAGCATTTTCATAATATTATCAACCATTACACTTATTTATTTATTTAGATTATTATTTTTTTAAAATTGTGATTTGTGTGAAAGTTTACAGAGTAAAATTCATTTTCCACATAGCAGTTTGTACACATTTTGTTTCATGACACTGACTCCAATCCCCATGATGTAATAGCTCTCTTTTACTTCCTCCCTCTGGTTACCCTTTCCTGTGTGTCCTTTCCTAGGCATTCCTGCCCCCTGAGCTGTCTCCCTGTGCAAATACTGCCCTTCTGGTCTCCAGTGGTTGATTGTTCTAAGGAGTGTATCTGTTGTTGTTGTTGTTGTTGTTATGTGCCATCAAGTCGGACCCAACTCATAGCGACCCCTCCTTGGGTTTCCGAGACAGTATCACTACGGAAGTAGATTGCCCCATCTTCCTTCCGAGGAGTGGCTGGTGGATTTGAAACCGCCAGCCTTCTGGTTAGCAGTCAAGTGCCTTAGCCACTATGCTACCAGAGCTCCTAAGGAGTGTACCTACCTGGTGTAAATATTCACCTTAGGCACCTTCAACCATTACATTTGTTTTAAAGTAAAAAGCCTATTCTTATTTTTTCCTCAATTTTATATTAGGTTGGTTATCTTTTTTTCTTGTTAATTTGATGAGCTATCAGTCTTCTTCTGGATGAAATCAGACATGCAGTGTTTCACTTAAAGATATTTTATGTGTTTATATGGATATGTTGTGAAAAAATTTGGGCCAACAACATGTAAGTTAGAGGATTGGGAGCAACTGTGATTGGAGAGCCTGGGAGATTGCATTCTGATGGCCCTCACTAGCCATATTTTTGTTTCAAAAGGAAACAATTTGGTTTCCTGCAAAATAATGGCAGTGAGATTGCTTTGAGGCTTTCCCTTTTAAGTTTTCAATGAGCTGGAGAGAACTATTTGTAACTAAGTGTTGAAAGAAGAATGTGATTTGATTAGGAAGATGGAGGAGGATGGCTTTGGCAGAGAGTAGGGTGTTGTGGCAAAGGATGTGGCCCTGAAGAGTAAAATAATAATTAGGAGGGACTCTGTTTAGTAGATAGAATTTTAGAAAGCCCAAAGGACTTTGCTTTTCTAGTATTAAGGTCCTTTTGAGGGACATTGTTTGCATGGGTTTGCTTGTAAGTTCCCAAAGCTGAAAGTGCAGTGATTCTGAGAACAGAGCCCATGGCAGGTAAAGCATTCACTGGTTAATGGAAACTTGCTCATTTGTTTTCCTAAGAAGCCATTGTGGACTATCAAGTAAACAGTGCACATTTGGAAAATGATCTGAATGCACGTTTGGGGCTGGCTTTATAGCAAGCTTTGGAGGCTGCCAGGGAGGACAATGCCTTTCTTTGCTAGGGAAGGGGGAGCTGTCTGTCCTTTATAAAGCCTGACCAGAGGGTGGGATGTCCTCTGAGAACCGCCCCATCTAAGTCTGCTTGGAATTCAGGACAGCTGCAATTGGTGCACATCTTTTGTTAATTGACATCTATATAACAAATCCACTATGGTGCTGATGAGCTGTGACGAATGGTAATTAATATTCATTTATAAACTTCTTACCTCGTCACATCCTGCAGTTCTAGGAGGAAAGTGCCACAGACACTCTTGGTGTTTCCTTTGCTTCTCTACCCTCCCCCACCCCTAGCCTTTAATCTTTGTTGCTTATAGAAATAAGGGAAAGTGGTCTCATAGGTTAGCCAAAGACATAGAAGCTCATATTAAAAGAGGATGAGATAAAGGAGCATTGGGTAGGAGCATAGCTGGGAGCCAGAGGGCAGATGAAGGCTCCACCTCAAGCCAGTGACCCTTCCTGTCTCAGAGTCCAGAATTTCACAAAAAGTGACCACTTTGGGGCTTAAGGCCATCACCCTCCCTATGAATTAGGCACAATCAGGCCTAAAGCCAAAGATTTTTGGGAGAGAGTGAAAGAGAGAGAGAGAGGGAGAGAGAACACGAAAGAAATAAAAAGAAGGGGTTTAATAAGAGAAGGAGTCTCTGGGTGGTACAAATGGTTAATGTGCTTGGTTGCTAGCTGAAAGGCTGGAGGTTCCAGTCTACCCAGAGACACCTCAGAAGAAAGGCCTGGCAATCTATTTCTGAAAAATCAGCCACTGAAAACCCTGTGGACTACAGTTCTACTTTGACATAGTTAGGGTCACAGGAGTTGAAATCCACTCTACAGCAACTGGTTGCTTATAATAGGAGCAGAGAAAGAAATTTTAGAATGGAAAGGGCTGGGTAAGCTGGAGGGGGCTGTGGTTGGAGCCCTCTTGAATGCATGCATGGCCTAGCCCCTGTGAGGAAGCTGTGTGGGGGACTGGGGAGGCCCCTGCTTAGGCTGACCCAGTTTGTTCCCAGTAGGCACTGCATCCTTTGGCAACCACTCCCCAGGGGACTTTGATGATGGGTTTTTGCGCAGAAAACAGCGCCGGAACCGAACAACGTTCACTCTTCAGCAGGTAATAACTCTAATACCCTTCTGACAACAAGCTACTTTCGCCTTACAAAAAAAAGAAAAAAAAATTGGAGGTTGAGGAACTCTTATGTTTTAAAATATGGCCAACTGATTATGTTAACTGGATCTCTCTGTTTTCTTGATAAATGTATGTGTCAAGGAATCTGTTTGAGAGGAGAGCAGATGACCATACGACTTGCCTCAGTTTTATAATTTGGGGAACATTTCCAAATCAACAATTTAATTTAAACCTCACGATAACCCTATGAGGAAGGTAGGTCAGACACTCTTATCCCTAGTAGACAGATGAGAAAACTGGGGCCCAAGAATTGAATGACTTGTATAAGGCGTTTTCACCAATGAGTGGAAGAATGACATGGAGAACCCTGAGATTACTGAACCAGGGCTCTTTCCCTTAGATCAGCATCTGTCCTATTTCCAGAGCAAACTGGAGCAATTGTGAGGATGACCCAATGTTGCCAAAGAGGTTTCTGTGGGACTGACACAGTGAGGGCACCTGCAAGTTATTTCTATTCTCCTCCACCCTACAGTGAAAGTGTGGTGAATTACTCTAATTCATAATGTTATCCTTAGATTTGTGATTCCTATAAATGTATTCAAATGTAAATGCATATGACTACTTACTCCTCTCTTATTTCTGGTTCTTTGGAGAGCGCTGAGGTTGTTAGTAACGTTGTAGCTTCTAAGTCATCCGCGGTTGAAATTTTAATTCTGCGGCATCTTTTCAAATAGCTTTCCTTGATCCCCTTCCTATATTTGATTGTGAAACTGCTTCCTTACCACTCATAGCACATTTGAAATATGCATCTCCTTCCCCTTACCAAACCACAGACTCTCACCAGTAAATATTTTTTCCTTTTACCAGCTGGAAGCTCTTGAAGCAGTTTTTGCCCAAACGCACTATCCAGATGTCTTCACCAGAGAAGAGCTAGCCATGAAAATAAACCTCACAGAAGCTAGAGTGCAGGTAAACATTCTTTTTAATTATTTAACTCTCTAATATTAAAACTGGCAAACTTTTTTTTTTTTTTTTTTTTTGACATCATGACTGCAGAGTGCACATTTGGCCAAAGAAAGCAAATGAAGACTATCTGTCATTTTCATGATGCACTTTAATAACATCAACATAATGTGGAATATTAGATTAGGTTGATTAATCGGTCATTCATAATTAACTAGTGATAATGTTCTACACTAATTTGTCCGCGTCTCTAAGGTACTAAATTACATCAATGCACATCCATTTCCTTGCTTTGGAAGAAAAAAAAAAAAGAGCTGAGATGCTATTCTCAAAGCAGCTCTGACCGCTCTGGGGTAAGGCCGGTCAATGCAGAGAACTGAGTTTTCAGATGGGAAGCAGGGTTAGGAGCTGTTTTCCAGAAATTGCATCATGGCCAACTTTTCCTCAGTATGCGGACGGTTTCAGTGAAGTGGATCTAAAGAACATGTGCAATTTAAAAATCTTTAAGCGGCAACAGCACAAGGGCAGGCCCTCAAGATGAGCCTGGCCCACAGTGACCGTATCGAAGCAGGCTTTCTTTTTAGAAGCTACACGGTGATTATGTTTAAGTGCACAAACCCGTTGAGCCCAGCAGATGTGCCCAAGCTCTGGAGGAAACGATTCACAGCGCTGCCTCTCCGGGCGAGCTATTCTTTGAGCACAATTATATATTCATTTTATTTATGGGGCTTCCTCCATGCTGTTTCTGTTTTTATTTATTTATTTTTTTACGTAGGGGCTTGGGGTTAAGACTATGCAAAGATCTAATTGTAGGAAATATAATAGTTTGCTTTCGGTTCCCCTGGGTCATGTTAGTATCTCTTAAAAACCAATGGCTGAAGAGAGATAATGGAATTCTGAGCAGTAAATTGGGGGTTGTAAACAAATTATTTCCCCTATAATCAGATTATGTGATCCTGATTATTAAATCTGAACATGAATCATTGGTCATAGGCAGGCAAATTAAACTGATTATTATTTGGAAATGAAAATCTCCTTTGGCCAGGACAATGTCTATCCTTTCTTTTTTTAATGCCAGCTTGCCAATAGCTGCCTAAAGACTGAACTGCAAATTGAGATAAATGACACAATTATTGAGCATTCAGAAGTGGAAGATCATAACTTCTCCCTGAAAGGTGCAAGGGTGAGATAGGGGTGGTGACAATTAAAGTGGGGAATTGTTGTTCAGGCCGTTGTTGGCTATTATGCAAACAGACAATGGCTGTGAAGCATTTGTTTAGTGAGCTTCTGTGTGGGGACATAGGCTTTGGTGGCGGGAAGGGAGATGTGTTTACATTTATACCCCTTGCTCATTCAAATATGATTAATGTTCTATAAAGCAGGGTCTTAATCGAAGCTGATGTTGTCAAACAATAACTAAATAGGGAAATAAACGACTCCATCATGCTCCTTCCTCAGAAGCAGGCGAACTGTCAGTGCAAAGTCATTAGAATATGATAATGAAAAATAGCTCAATTAAATGTTGTTATAGCTGTGACCTTCATTCAATTAAGACACAAGAAAGTGTCTGCATTTTGCTTTGCATTTAACTGCCCTAAATTTAGAATATAGATAAAATCATTATTCAGTGGTTGCTGATATGTGCAATTAAAAGCCAACTAAATTAAAAAAGAAAAAGACCCAGTTAAAGGAGAATGAAAATGAAGAAGTGGGGTGGGCTTAGCCTAGGGACCCAGGTTTTCACCAGGGCCAACATGTCGACTGCCAGGGGAGGAGGAGGAAGAGAGGAGTGCCTGAGGGAATAGGAAGGAAGACTAGCCAAGCCTTTTTTTTTTTTTAAAGCCAAGAATCATCTCCTAGGAGTAGAAGGGAGAGGTTTTACTGGATGGAGTAAAGAACAGCAGGATTTTACTGACCTCTGGGAAGACCTTGGAGCTGGGCTGGGCTGCCTGCCCCCCCGAGGTTGCACTTCTGCACAGGCAGTTTTAGTTTCCAAGGCTTGAAGAATTTGACACTAGCCTCTGAGAAGGTACTTAGGCCAGGTGTATCATCAGTTGCGTCCTAATCTGAGGATGATGGAGATGGTACCACTGACTAATGTTTATTGAGTGATTGATTGCTGAGGGCTGTGTTCAGTGCTTTGCATCATCATCTTCCTACATCATCTTCCTAACAATGCTTATTTATTATCTATTATCTATTATCACTAAGCAGTTTGGATTACAGTTCCTAGTTGGGACACTGGGTTTCAAATTCTGGAGCTGCTACTTACCACCTGATGACCTTGGGCAAGTTAATTAACTCTCTGTGCTTAATTTTTCATCTGTAAAATGGGGACAATAGAAATACCTACTTTATAGGGTTGCAGTAGGTTTACACAGGTCTGGAATTCTAGTATCTATGTTTCTAGTAGATGCACTGGACTGATGGTCATGAACTTGTCATAATGTATAATTGGATGCTTTCAGGATTAAATCACAGGTGTGATGCTTGACACATAACAAGAGAGTGCTCAGCTAAAGCGTGCTGGAAGAGTGAAAGAGTATTTTTGATGAGGAAGCCCTAGGGCAATGTTTTCCAAAGTGGTTTGACCATGACCCCATTTCACATCATATAATATACTTGGTGGTACAGTGGTTAAAGTGCTTGGCTGCTAACTGAGGGTTGGTAGTTTGAACCCACCAGCAGCTCCACAGAAGAAAGATGTGACAGCCTGCTCCTGTAAAGATTACAGCCTTGGAAACCCTATGGGACAGTTCTACTCTGTCCTATAGGGTTGTTATGAATTGGAATTGATGCCATGGTAAAGTTTTTTTTTTTTTGTGTGTGTGTGTGTGTGTTTAATCTACTAGTGTGAAAATCAATAAGGAAAGTTTTCATGAGATAGAATAGTTTTACTCCTCCTATGATCAATGCATTTAGATACTTTCTGTTACTTAATATTTCTTGTTTTTAAAAATTACTGCTAGGGTCTTCAAAACTGATTTTCTGGCCCATCAATAGGTCAGAAATTACAGTTCCAAGAGCCCTACTTTGGGAGGCCTTTTGGAGTGAAGAGGTTTCCCCCACTGCACACCTCCCTTCAAGGTGCTGCACGAATCCTGGGCAAGGGGTCAAAGACATTTGTTTTGGATTCTAGTTGCCTTCTCTTGTCTGATTTCTGCATCTGTTGGGTATGTGTTACCACTGGGAATTCAGGTTTGGTTCCAGAACCGAAGGGCCAAGTGGAGGAAAACAGAGCGAGGGGCTTCAGACCAGGAGCCTGGTGCCAAGGAGCCCATGGCGGAGGTAACTCCCTCACCGGTGAGAAACATCAACTCCCCGCCCCCTGGGGACCAGGCTCGGACGAAGAAGGACACATTGGAGGCCCAGCAGAGGTGAGGCCAGCCTGGGGAGTCTATGGGCAGTGTCCAGACGATGGATCAAGGACTCAGTGTGATTTTCTTTCTCTGCCAGCCTGGGGCGAACAGTTGGTCCCACGGGACCTTTCTTCCCCTCCTGCTTGCCAGGAACCCTCCTGAATACAGCCACATATGCCCAGGCCTTGTCACATGTTGCCTCCCTGAAAGGTAAGTTTGGACCAGCTGGTAGGAGGGGCTGGGCATGATGGAGATGGTCATCTGACTGTCCTACTTCCTGTGTAAGGGTTACATCTCTGGACAGTGCAGCCTTCTTCCTCCCACTGTACAACTCGAGTTAAAGACTGCATTGATTTTCACATACCAGATTGCATTTAACTTTACATGGCCTGGTGATGTAGGTGAAAATAGAAAACATGGCTTCACTTGACCAAATGTTTTGTTCAAGAGGCAGTTGTTTCAAAAACTGCCACTCTCCTTCTTCACAAAGTCCTTCCTCTCACTGGTAACAGTTTTAAGTACTATGCAGCAGCTCCTGGTGAGGCTATGAGGGCCAATTGTCTCTGGTTGTACGTTGTCTCCACATTTTCAGCTTGCCCATTTGCCTTCCCCAAAGACTCCCAATGTCAGGGGTCTGAGCTGTTAGGTTGGTGGTTTTCCAAGATTTGCTGTCTTCTCTGTGCCTATTGCTGTTTGAAGGATAGAAATGTTTAGGGACTTTTTGCCAGGCCCACCTTGTGAAGCTGTCCTCTGGGGATTTCTGGGGAGCCCCACTGGATGATTGAGCCCATCCAGTTCTCCCAAGCCCATTCTTCCTGTGGCTAGGAATAGGCTGCACCCCAGGTTGGCTTGGAGGAGTGGGTGCTCCACATGGGGCCTATCTGTCACCGGGATCTAGGAGGTGGGGGTACAGGTGCAGCTATAAGCATTTTCTCTGAGTAAACAAACTAGAAGTTTCTTGTGACATAGGCAATGAGATTGGCATACTCCTGCTTGTCCTGTGTGAGGGCCTGAGGTCTTCCTGCCTTCAAGGGGTTCCCTACAGCAGGTGGGCATACATACGTGGGGCGGGGGTGTGTGTGTGGTGGCAATCTGCTTTGCAAATGTGATTTCCTGAGTCAGAATGAGAACCTGATGGGTCATCCAGGGGCCTGGCATGTCCAGGATGAAGGATGCAAGGGGACAGCATATGCTGAGTGCCAGGAGAAGGCAGAGGGTGTTGTGGTAGGACCAGAGCTGGAAGGCCCTGAATGCCCGGTTCCTGGCTTCGGACTTTCCATAGTAGAAGGTGGGGCCTCTGGACTTGGCCTCCCCAGAGCTGGAGCCACTTGTGAGCTATCAGGGGAGCTGAAGGAATCTCCCTGCTCTATAAGCTCCATGGGCAGCCAGGCTCAGCCAGCCCAGACCCCACACCCCTTCCTTCATCTCCACGGTTCAGTTGCTTAGACAGAGGCTAGGTAGAGCCACACGGAATGGCCTCACGATAAAAATCTCAGGACACAGTGGGTTGATGGGCACTACAGAGGTGTGTCATCCTGTAAGGAGATGATCAGTGGATTTCTGTATCACCTGAGGTTGCCAGTTTTGGCAAAGGAGGAATATCAGCATTCGCCATCCAAGCCTGCAGCCCCAGTTCCTAAGAGTAACAGCCTCTTCTATAAACATCTTCTGCTCGCCCTACTCCAGCCCTATGATATCATTGTGGTGGGAGCACATAGATGGAAGCCTGCAAGTGCTGAAAGAAGGACTGGGCCATATTGCCATGCAGGGTAGGCAGGAAAACAGCTATGGTTGGGAGCAGGGGTGGCAGAAAAACAAAGCAAAACCCAAACCCACTGCCACTGAGTCAGATCTGACTCATAGCAACCCCTCCTTGGGTGTCCAAGGCAGTGTCGCTACGGAAGTAGACTGCCCAACCTTCCTTCCGAGGAGTGGCTGGTTAGCAATCAAATGCTTTAGGCACTATGCCACTAGAGGCAGTGCATAAATGGTAGATAGAGGTGGGACCAAACTACATCTCCTAATGCCCTTTGCACTTGATGCTCCCAGCTCAGGACCATCCAAGAAGGCAGAGCCCTTTTTTCTTTTCCTTTCAATCCCCGCCCCTTCCCTAAGCCTTTCTGGCTATTTCAACCCCTGTGCCTGCCTTGCTGGGAATCAGACTATCTTTTGATGCTGACTTGGCTGCCATGGCCTCAGGGTGTGTGAGACCCTGCAGAAGTGGCTGAAACCCCAAGTGTGCTTACCGAAGCATGGACACATCTTTGTGTGTTGTGTGAGGCCACTTTGACAGTCAGGGGGACAAGACTTGTTTTAGAGCTTATGATACTCTCAGATGTTTCCAGACCAGGTGGGTGCTGGCCATGAGTAAAGTGAGCATGTGCGGGAATTGGCTCCGCTTCCTCAATTAAAAACGAATTCTTGCTCATTTGTCTTGAAACACACGGCCCTCTTGGCCTATCTGATGTTCCCACTTTTGACAGGGGCATGGGTGAGGGATATAATTCTCTTAATAAGAAACAGTCATGCAAGGAGTGATTCCAGCAGGCCACCTGGGATTCAGGTAGGCAGAGGCAGGGACAGTATGCTGTGGAAGCCTCTGCCCATCTTAGGGGCCAGTTGTTGCTCAACTCAGCAGACTGTGGCCAAGTGGAGTGAGGATGCAGTGTTGCCGGATTGCCTGACTTTTAAGAGAAGCTGATAATCTGGGTTTTTATTGGGAATAATCCCATTTTTAAAATGCCCCCTCAAAGTCTTTGGTTTAAACTGGTAAGTCTAGGGTCAGATGCAGCCTGGCCTGCCGTTCTGTGAGCTCCACTAGAACGGTGAGTGAGGGAGCTTCGGCTTTCCCACCCTATTCTTGCTTTCTGCCTTCTCCTCCCACTTGCTCCTCCTCAACACTGTTCTGCTTGGCCTCCCTGGCCTAGTCCCTCCCTCAGCTCATCCTGACACCCTGACCTCATGGCCTCCTGGAGCAGTTGGCTTCTTAGTTTCTGGCAAACTAATGTTGGAAGAGAGAGGAACAATTATTGGAAAGCTCCTCTATTCTCTGTAAGGTGAGCTCAGGCCGCAGTCTTACTGAATCCACAAGGCAGCCCAGTGAATTTCATTCAGAGAAGGAGGTCCAGAATTGCATTGCTAGTAAGTGCAGCTGGGATCTCTGAGCTAGTGGCTGACAATGGTTGGGGTCTCTGTATGTTGTTCTAAGTGACCTGACCTGTATGGGCATTTCTGCAGGGGAGGCACTCTGTGCTGGCAATCTCTGGGGCTGCCTCTGAGCCAGCTGGGCCAGCCCAAGGGAGGTGCTGGGGGACTAGACCCTGCCTCAGTTCCTGGGGGGAAAAGGGTGTGCCTGGCTGTGAACGCGCGGTTTTGGTGTGGAACCCATGGGTTGGGACCAGGTTGAATTTGTCACCATGTAGCTCACTCCCTTTCCAAGGGCACAGCTTGGTCTAGGCCCCAGAGAGGAGTGACATCTTCAAGGGCAGGGGCTCCCTTCCTTCCCTGCACCTGGGGGCAGCCACCTCTCTCTCTCTCTCTCTCTGGTCTGGATTCTGCTTTCCTGGGGCTGCTGGCCAACAAGAGGATAGCCTCAGCTTTCTGGGGGGAGTATCACCCATGCCAGTGCCAGAAGGCATCTGATTGACCTAAGCCAACCCTCCTGTTACAGATGGGAAACTGAGGCCATGTGCTCAAACATTACTTACTTAGCTAGGCCTTCCGTTTAAGGTCTAGGCACTTGCCATGGGATCCTGATGGCCTCCCTCTTTGTCTTGCATCCAGAGCATTCATTCATTTCTCTGGATAAGTACCTGCTGGTGGAGAGAACAAAAAAGGTACTTGGACCCACACCCTTCTACCCAGCAAACAGGACGGCAATGAGTCCACTTGGGCAGGAGCCCTGAGCAAGAGTCTGTATTCACCAAGTTTACCAGAGTCCTGGACCAATGTGAACTGGGTCCTTGGTGCCTTCCAGCCCAGCCATCCCAGCCCACTTGTCCAGGATTGTGGAAACTTGCAAATGATACAGAAGAAATGAATCAAAACTGATTGCAGCTCCCAGATCCAAACTAGAGCTTCTATTGTCTTTCCTAGGAATGGTGGTCCAAGTGGGGAACATTAACTTGAAGAAAGCAAGGGTCTGAAGTTCTGGTCCAGCCCTTCTACCACTTTGGGCATTGCTCCCCTATGACTCTAGACCAGAGCCTGGGATGTGGAGCAAAGGCTGCCCTATGCAGCCTCCCAAGCAAGACTGGAGAGGGAGGGCAGGTGCTCAGTGCTCTAGAGTTGAATTGGACAGATGAAGGACCCCGATTAATGGTTCCAGAGCTCATGTCTGAGGTGTGTTATGTATTATACATCTAAAGACTATCAGTTTGAGGTGCTCAACAAATGCTTTCATTATTAGTCCTGTTCTTTCCTTCTCAACACCTGGGTCCTAGTCAACTTTAAAGGACTAATGAAAAGAATACTTTCCCCAAGCTTCTCTTGTGTCTCTGAACTTTATTGCTGCTTAATTAATAGTCTCTATTTCCTTGCTGTCCCCATTGCTGTAATTTTTGGCAATATTGGGATTTTTTTTTCTGTTCCTCCAGGATTTCCTGCTCAGAGCACCCATTCCCTCCTGGGACTTTACCTGGGCAATGCACTTTGCCCTTAGGGATGCTTAGAGAGTATTGGGCAGGCAGGTAGGCTGGGCCCATTGTTTGTTTTATGATTGGGTGTTTCTGGCAAACTCAAATAAACAGGCAGCAGGACCCAACCTCACGCCGGGATGTTTTGCATAACAATAGTGCGCTCAGAGAAAAATCCTTTTCAACACAAGGAATTTTCTTGCCTTGCCTTACTGGCCAGCCTAGAGTTCACAATTCATTAATGCAGAGGAGATTATTAATGGTTGGGGGAAGTGCTGGGGTTTGTTCTGGGGAAGTGCTGGCCGCAGGACAGGCAGGCATGGCTGAGAGGTCCAAGAGCCACAGGCAGCCAGGCTCTCTCTGGTGCACTTAGCTGGCTCCCTCTAACCTGTGATTCTCATGCTGGGTATGAGGTGGAGATAATTACAGCTGCCAGGGGAGAGCTTTCATGATGCACTCTGTTCCCCTCCATAGGCTAACAACCTGCTCCCCCATACTGGAACGTACACTGATAGGTATTCAGTGCTAACTGAAAGGTTGGAGGTTGGAGGCAGAAAAGTCCTGGCTATTTTCTCT